TGAATTGAGCTTTAGATGTTAAACTTTTTAGTAGTTGGCAACACTACTTACGGAAAATAATGACAACAAAATTAAACAAAGAATAATATTACACTATAATGTCTTTTGTTTTTCGATCTTTCGTACTTAATATTATAGAAAAATATAAAAACTTTAGCTTGTTACTTGCAAAAATATGTATGTAGAATTTAAACCACCACAATTCTATATTTTATTCTAATTATTTATTATTTAGTTACTATTTTTATCGCCGCAGCTACCAATTTGTGATCCTACAAATGTAAAAATTGTTTACCATCATTTTCAAAACATTTCCGATCAGTAAATTACAATATGGAAAAAATAAAGTATTGCTAAAAATTATTTCAATAAAAACAAAACTGAAGTAAATAAAAATATTTCGAATTACTTAGAAGTCTGTTAAAGTTATTCTGTTCCTACCTATGCATTGTGAGATATTAACCGCATATTTTTGCCTAATGTTAATTCTTTAGACATAACAGTCCAATAAAAAATATGTTCGGAAAATGTTGTTGTGAGAGAGTGCCTCAGATGACGCTCGATATTACCGCAACCTTTACACCTTTGATACTGGCAGTTGCAAATTGTAAAATCATTCTCCAAGACCCGTACGATAAAAGAATCTTACGTGGCGGCTTATTATTAATTTCATTGTACTCTATTGATAAACAATTGAATCGATTTTATACCTACTCAATATAAATTGAAGGGCTGCGTGTAAATCAATTATTCAATGACAGGCACGTATTCTGTCTGTCGTACTGCTACATTATTACCTACAACGGACAAATAATCTAGAGTTAGTTAGTTATGATTTACATTCAAATAAAATTTCATTCTTTTTTCATTAATGTAATATAATACTTTTATTACATTACTTTGCTCATAAACTTATTCTCTTAAAGTCTTATTGTTTTATTTAAGACTGCGGTTACCAACTCTAGAAGAACTTCCGGAAATGTGTATGCAACAAAGAGAAAAAATAGCTGTAGCATTTCACGGTGATATTCCGGTAAAAAAATTGAAAGGAAAGAATGCTTTCGTTGAACTTCCAAAATACTCAGCAAGATACGAGTTTGTTTCAGATTATGGATTTGAGAATTTTAGAAAGGAATTAAGGTACGTTACGATTATGAATAAGGCGTTTTTGAATCATTCCTAATTATGTGAACATACCTCTTACCTAATTTTTTGGAATGAAGTTTCTTATTTCTTTTTTTCTTTATTTTCCAGTTTATTAACAGAAATTTCCTTATATTTTCTCAAGGATTGTTACGACCAGAAAAGGATGTTGTGTTATGTTAAATATTTGACACAAAAGGAGATCTTTTTCTTTAGTTATTCAATAAAATATTTTTTACTGACTTCCTCTGTTCTCCTATTCTTCTTAATATCTCGTCACTTCTAACCTTTTCTATTCATGGTAGCCTCATCATTCGCTTGACGTAACATCACATTTCGAACTGCTTCTAACCTTTTCATTTCCGCCGCCCTCTTCGTCCATGTCCATATTTCGCACCCGTACACAATCTTTTTCGAATTTCTAAAGTAACCGTTCGCGAACATAGAAGTGACTTCTTTTTATTGAATGCGACTCGACCCTAAGCTATCTTCAGCTTTATATTCATAATACTCCTTCTGTCCTGACTTTCTAGATACCTAAAATCAACCACTTCTTCTAATTTTTCGTCTCCTATATTTATATTCATTTTTTCCTACCTTTTCTTCCCTAGCATACCAGTACTTTTGTTTTAGTATTTATTTTCAAACAATACTGTTTTGTCAATACCGCTTCCATTTTATTTAAAGCTATTTCTAACTCCTCCTTGCTAGATGCTAGTACTGCTATATCATCTGCAAATCTAAGTAGACTAATCTTTTGTTGTTTGATGTTTATTGCGTTTTTGATATATGGGTTATTAACAAGAAGAATTCATTGGGCACAATAACTAAATAACCTATATTGTCAATTAAAGAAAAGACCCCTTCCTCTTATCTGGCACTAATTCCCTAGGTCTTGGGAAATTTCCCAAAACTAGCGCCACCTAGTTTGTATGTTATTTATGAACTGATCGTTTTGTGGCCTTAGGGCTACTAATTTTTCTAATCATTAAAAAATTAAATATATTTATTTTATTAGGTTCAAGCCTGAGTATGTAACTGAAGCTTATACCAATTTGAAGTCATTAAAAAGCAGTTACTACAAAGAATACGATGACGTTGTTTTTGTTGGAATGCACTACAGAGGAACAGATTTTATACCTCATATAAAAGATTATCTTCACGATAAGTTTGAGGTAACATTTTCTTATCAAATATTTTAGATAGAAATGAACATATTCGCAGAAACTGCAAAATAATATTACATGAAAAGAAAGTATTTAAAAACAAACATTTATAAATTAAGGCTCATATAGATACTGAACTATGTTTGTAAAAAGTAATTATTTCAGGGACCACCGACCTACGAGTATTACAACAAGGCGATGTCGTTTTTTCAAGAAAAATATGAGAAAATAATTTTCGTATTAATAACGATAGACAAAGACTGGTTAGACAAAAACAGAATAGGTTTTAAAAAAGATGTGAATCTTGCAATAAATCCTTTCCAATCGGAAAAAATAAAGGACTTCGTCCTTCTTTCTCATTGTAATCACTCCATTATTTCTTTCGGATCGTACTCTTCAACTGCGGCTTTGTTTGCCGGGGGTACAACGTTTGTGTACGACCTGGGGGTGCCTTTGAACATGCCAGCACCCATTCTCGCGATGGGACTTGCATCCAGGATGCCTAATTGGCACCTTCTTAAATAAAAATAGTACACTATTACTTTTGTATTATCTCAGGGAGGCGTATGATAGCTTAGCTAATTAATTTAAAGATATTGCAGACGGAGTTATTGGTAATCAATACCTCATGAGCCTTCCCGTATGCCAGAGGCGGACTTTATTACGTTTCCATTGAACAATACGAAAACATGACTGTGCCTCGCCATACAGCGTGTTTCTAAAATAAATAGCAAGCGTTGGAGGGTGTTAACTAGATGCAATGGGGATTGCATGATGAGTAAAGCAACATGGTTAAAGGACACAAAAAGTTGTAAGAAAACTGGAAGAAATTGCAATTCGAAACCGGCCCTGTGCGTGAGTTGACAACGTACAGTGAATGTGCGGTTACAATTAAGCAGTTACATCGATGGAGAATGTAAACAGTGACGGTTGTGGAACGACTAAGAAAGTAAATGTCAACATCTTACTATTATGCTACTACACATGATAATGTTTAGACGCCCATTATGTTAAAAATTAATAAAATAACTATATTTTGTTCATCGCTGATAGGATGCAGTTTCAGCATGACATTAAGAACCTAATAGAAAGAAAAACATAAACGTTGCGTAAACATTAATATGTAACTTAATATCCTCTAGATAGGTAGAATAATTGTAATTTTATTAATTGTAAGGTATATTTCCAAACCACTTTTGAGTTAAAATGTGTTATTTTTGTTTTATGGGTGGCCCGCTACTAACCCTATCCTCTACTTACAAAAAATTAATTACAACACCAGTAAACATACCCGCATACGCTCGTACACAACAAAACAATTTTTTGAAAATTTGAATCGAGAACTAAAAGAATTCGAGGCGTCTACCAAAATTATTTTTGAGTCGCGCGAAAACATCCGTCACGTTGGTTTATTTTATTTAAAGCGATCGTCGTGTGTAGTCGTGCAAGTCATTAGCGTTCTGTACTGGTTTTTGATACACGGGCTGTTTTATGCAACCCCGTACAAAATAGTAAAGTGGATTTAGATCCGAACTACGTACCCTCTGAGCTACAAGACCCGTACGTTCAATCTAGCGTCTAAGAAATTGTTTTAGAAAATACTATTCTGCACTGACCTCTGACATTGATACACTGACCTACTGCCAATGACTTCGACTTACTACATACATACAAGCCTACAACGTTTAAAGAACAAAGAACTACTTTAGCAACTTAAACATCGTCAATCTAACAAATAACAAAGAATGCATGAGTCAAAAATACAACACGGATGCTGCTAATTACCAACCGATTGAATGTGGCGTTGCGTTGTCGTAATTCTATGCGTGATGCTATAAGGGCCGGACTGGTCCTTGTTTTTACTTTCAAATTCGTTTTTCTCTAAAATGGTGAACTTTTTTTGTACCACCAAGCATTTACTTAGTTTTCTTATTTTAAAGTGCTTTGTCACTTCCTTTAGGCCTGCTACTTATTACAGAAACACCCTGTACAACAAGGGATGGACTGTAAATAAGTTTTAAGTGATAAAAATTGGTGGATATTAATAAACGGGTAGAATTCTGCCATTACACAACATCTAAGGTCAAGATTGATGATATTCTGAAATTCTAACATCTGACCTAATTGAGATATTTTCGGCAGTTTCGGCGATTCTATTATTCTGGTGTGAATTCTTTTCCTGATTTTTCACTTGTTTGCGACTCTTCATTTACTTAAGTATTAATTCACTATCAGTAAAGTTTATTTAAACTAGATAATTATTTATTGTTGTAATTGACTAGTGCATTGGCATTCTTTGTGACCTTGTTTACAGATAAGAAACATTATTACAATTTCCAACAGTATTTTTTGTCACTGAAGTTTTAATTCTTCATTCATTTCTGCAGTACTGTTATTACAATTGTGAAAATAAGTAAATATTAAAACAATGTGTACAAAGAATGTAATAGCGGAATTTAGACCAGGAACGTAATAAGGAGTTAATTGAGTTTATTGAACAACATCCATCATTTAGCGGTTCATCTGACGCAGACTAACGTATTTTGATAGATTAAACGTAGATAATAAAGGCAATGATTATTTAGACGCCGAAGTTCAAAACTCTTTCGCAAAATTTGAAACTGTGTGTCAAACTGAAAAGGTACTTTTTAACATACAATGTTAACTGGACGAAAGCAATCCAAAAGGGGATGTGCGACCGATATTCATAGTGAAGTTACTGTGGGAGATATCAATTTATTAAAATTAGAGAAGAAAGAGGAACATAATCCACAATTATCAAGCCATAAAGAATAAGAACAAAATAAAGGAATATAAAAATAAACATTAAATATTTCTAATATTTCGATGAATATGCCCGTAGGAAAAATTTCCATTGAAGTTCAATGGGAATCAATGGAAAATTTGTAAATTCCATTCAAAACCATTTGGCATAAATGGAAAAATAATTGTTTCCATTTACAATATAATTGCTGGCCACATGTACTATTAGCTTTTTTCGATACAGTTTTTGCTTGCCCAGGTGCAAGAGTAGTGATATTGCCAATTAGGTGGTGGAAAATCAATAATCTAGTTTTACCTATGCGTGCATGTTGGGGGTACGTGAGGGACCACCACGGCAGTAGAGTGAGAGACAAGCAAGGTAGTAAGATGTTTGATTAAAACGGTATATTTCATTTAGACGTTGAGNCCAGTATTGAGTAATTTAATAGATATAACAGGTCAATTGAAAAGTCGTATGTATTTTGGAAGACGCGATACATTGAATATTGTATATAAGTTGTATATATTTAGTTCCTGTTTGTTACTCGTTTTGCTGTTTGCTGTTTATATTCATTATTATGTTTATTATATATGTATTCAACTACCCGGAGCCTTTTATTAAACAACCCCTAGACAAGTGAAAAAGCCTACATTAGAAGCATTGTTTGATGATTTTGAACCATGCCAGAATATAGAGGAGGCCGAAGTCATCTGTGAGAGTGATGTAGTTTTATCAGAAGCAAGTGAAAATGGAAAAGTGAAAAAGGAAAAGGAAAGTGATTATGGAAAAAAGCATGCTGATGAAGTTCCAATGGAACGCAATGGGATTTCCATTGCTGAAGCAATGGAAATCCCATTGAAATCCATTTTTTACCATTAATTATTATCAGTGGTAATTTAATGGCATTTTTTTAATGGAAATTGAATGGAAATTTTTCCTACGGGTGTGCTTCGTAAAATTTTTATCTATTGTTAAAGGCTAACATTGTAAAAGTAATAAAGAAAGATACCCCAGATTACTCTTTAATATCGGGTTACACATGTAAATAGCAATAGGAAAACTACCTATACCTAATATTTATTCTAATTAATAATATTGACAGACTTCACTTCAATATATTAGTGAATTAATTCTTGAATTATTTTACCACTACAGGTAATAGCAAATAAATGAAGAAAAATTGTTGCTATATACAGTCATTCTCTTGGTTTTACATACCAGTACTAGAGTAATTAATTCAAAAGTTAATTCACCAATACATTGAATTCATCATCATCATCAGTCCTAAGACTGGTTGGACACGTACCTCCACTCTTTCCTATCCTGAGCTAAACTTCGCATTTCCCTAAAACTAGAACAGCCCACATCCTTAACTATTTGCAAAGAGTAATCTAATCTAGGTCTACCTCTACCCCTCCTAACTCCTGTTTCTGCTTCTAATATGTCTCTGACTAGACCTTCATGTCTACAAAAATTCAAAGTATCTCAGAACTTACTTCCATATTATGCATAGATGAAATTGTCCTTTATTTTCATTTGTTTGTTACTAATTTGAAGGTAAAAAAAGAAAGTGACATTCTCCTTAAAAAATAAAGATTTGGTTTGAATTCCTTAATAATATGGAGATTCCTACCTTCAGATGGAGTCAGAGATCACATTTATAACGTCAGATTTAATATGTTATAATAAGGCTTTGAAAAATTTCAGAAAAATAAAGTTATTTGGAATTAAATATCAATTGGCCTTCCTCAAATAATCTTATTCAAATAAAATATAATCACATCTGTGAGTTTTGACTATTCCAAAGCTGATTCAATTACCTGCTACTAAACTCGAACGTACCTGCAACAAAAAGAAAAACATTAATTAGGTTTTAATCTTATAGCGAAATGTTTTCGAAAATATTTCTTAAACTTTCAGAAGGTGGTGACAAGCAAAACACTGGAACATATTTTCCAAGGTTTAAAAAGCGTAAGTATTTTAAATTAATTTATAACATGAATGTAGTTAACTTAAAAATAATAAAGTCGAGAAAATGGTAAGGATAAGATGTAATAAGATGATAAAGGTGAATGTCTAAGAAGTACTGATAAGTCGAGATATGTGGAATATATGAATGTTCTATGGGAGCATTGGTAGCGAGACTATACCAGATTATTTTTGTGGAATGATGGATGTGAACGTATAGCAACGTTTAGGGTAGGAAATGAAATTAGAAAATGTAGATATTGGATGAAGGAAGAAGAAAGGGTATTCAGGATATATGAAAGGGGAGATGAAACAATGATGCATGTGCTGAGAGCATGTGGGATGTGGGCAAAGTACAGCTCGACCAACGAATCTGTAGCTGCGAGATGCTCACAAGCGAGAAAGAGAGGGAAAGAGAGTAAGGATATACTTTTCGGCTACGCACAGTAAGAGAAACAAATAAAACCGATTTTGATGTCTCCTGCCATATATTGGTAATTTCATATTGAATTGATTCCACGCAGGCTGTACACGGTGATCACTATTCATCAACATTAAGTTTTCTTTTTTTTTTTTTGGGTGTTTCATTCCCACCAGCCAGTAATGCTGGTGGACGGGCAGTCCCTCCGGACTACGCCGGAAGGTAGGGCGGAAGGCCCTCTTCAGCCTGCTTTCAGGAATCGTGGGAATGGGTGGGTGGTGGTTCGTGTGTGAAAGATGAGACGGACGAAATGAAGACAGAAGAGAGTGAAAGATTATCTGTGGAATATTACTGCCTCAGCATTTGCCTAAGTGATCTAAGGAAACCACAGAAAAACTTGGACCAAGGCAGACGGACCCGGAAACGAACCGGCGTCCTCCCGAATGCTAAGCAATGGTCTAGACCTCCAGGTCATGCCGCTCGGTAAAACATTAAGTTCTAGCTATATCGTTTCCACTTTCTTGGCCACTGCGCATAACTCTGTCGCGGCTACAGGGATTGTCATTTTATTTTGAATAGAAACAGACACAATACTGGCGATACTTGTAGGCTTTAAATTTAGATAGAACAGTATTGCATGAAAATAAATAAAAGTAAAACAAAAATACTGGTACGCCAGGGAAGAAAAAGTAGAGAAAGAGCAAATATAAAGACAGGAGATCAAAAATTATAAGAATTGACTGATTTTAAGTATCTAGGAAGTCAGATAAGTCAGAACGGAAGGAGTAGTAGGGATATAAAGCAGAAGATAGCGCAGGGTTGTGATGCCTTTAATAAAAAGAAGTCACTTTTATGCTCGCGAACGATTCATTTACAAATTGAAAAAGATTGTTAAAGGTGTATGTTTGGAGCATGACGCGTTCGAAATGTGGTGTTACCGACGAATGATGAGGATACCGTGGATAAAGAAGGTTAGAAATGAAGAGGTAATAGAAAGAGTAGGAGAACACAGGACTCTATGGAAGTTAATAAAATATAGGCGAGATAGGTTAGTAGGACACCTTCTCAGACATGAAGGTCTAGTCTAGAGACATATTAAAGGCAGAAACAGGAGTTAAGAGGAGTAGAGGTAGAGACCCAGATTAGATTACTGTTCGCAAATAGTTAAGGATGTGGGATGTTCTAGTTTTAGGGAAATATGAAGATTAGCTCCGGATAGGAAAGAGTGGAGATGCGTATCCAATCAGTCTTAAGATTGACTACCTTATGATGATGAATTTACATCAGATATTAGAAATCTGTAATAAGTCGTTGACAAAATTTGGAAGCCTCTGTACATGCGTATGTATGACGAAAAGTTTGGGTTATCTGTAATCCGCCTTCATAAAGATTAGATGAAATTCATAATCGAAGTAATCAAATGATGTAGTATCTACTGATTTCTCAGACAAACAACACGTTATAGCGTTTTTTTTTTAATTCAAATTTCACATATAATTGGCTATATTCAATTCTAACATTAGTTTGAATACCTTGAGTATATCTTTTGATCAGTGTACTTCACTCGCCATAAAGTAAGTTGTGGTTTAATGTTTGGTAGTTATAAAAATGATAACAAGAAAGAAACTATACTTTATTTTAGTACTATTTACTGTCTGTGTTTATTTGCTTGTTGACTTTTTAAGTAACCAACAACTTATTAAATTAGGTAAGTAAAATAATTTGGTTTCCTATTGAGAAAACTAAAAAGCTGATAAAAACTCGTTATAATTCGTTCTAATATTATTACAAGAGTATTGGATCTTAAAATAGTCAAAGATTCCGAACAATTTCTAAATTCTCTGAATAATTAGTATCTACATTTATCAGTACCTTATATTAATTATATGTTCGAGTAAAATTTGATAATCGTTTGCCATATCAAACATCAATATCACAAATAAAAATAATATATTTTTATAAATATTTAAATAAATGCAATTATTTGTTGAAAATTCTTGACATTATACAAAAATTCAAATCTTTTCCAAGTATCTACCTATTCAAAATTTCAACGCTATTTGGTAGAAATGTCACTAGAGCAAACTAATCTATAGTCCACGCGCTTTGGTGTGGTATGGAAGCAATAAAAGTAGGACGTTCGATGAGTGCAAAGAGAGGAATAGTTAACAATCCATACCGGCCAGTAAGAATAATGCTATAAATTAGAGATGCACCGAATAAGTACTAATTTTGCCGGTTAGTATTTAAGCAAAATGTGCTATTATATAGTCAATAGTGCGCTTTTCGCTCATCTGATTGGCCGAGACCAAGCACTAGTATGTTTTGCCATGATTAAAACGCGGTACGTTTTGGCATGTCTTCTTCCCGCATAACTTCACCAAACCGCTAACACGTGGCGCATTAATTACTAATTGACACAGTAAAAACAGGACACTAAACTTATCGGTCTTCACCTAATCAATGTGAAACCTGGAGAAGCATGGGGATACTTACGTATTAAAGTCCATTTGGAACCAATATTGGTTTAATAAGGAAACAACCTGGAGCAGCTACATGCCGGAGTCAAGGGAAGTAGAAGATTACTATCTGGAAGAACTCCAGCTTGTGAAACGTGGAGTACTATTAAAAGAAAGTGGAATTTTGGTTTCTAATTTTACGAAAGATATGCCTAATGTCAATTCACACTATGTAGCTCAGGGCCGGGCAATCTCGGCTCTTTTGACTCCCGAGTGCTCCTCAGGTACAGCCAAGGTGCTCCTCATTGCTCCTGCGAGTGCAAGTGAGATGATTCTTTCCTTTTCTTATCCCTTCCATTTCGTAGGTGAGACCCCTCTTCCATAACCGAACCCAATAACATTGCGAACGTAGTCGGGCGTGCTACCTCTGACCTGGCGGTCGATCATTAGAAAATTTTCGTAGGTATTATTTAAGTTACGAAAGAGGCTTCGCTCGTCTATCGGATGAAGGGGCTTGATACGGCAGTGGAAGGGAGAAGAAAAAGAGAAAGCAATATGGGTCATTATTGCTGACTCTCTCGTACTCATTGAAGGATATGGACTGACCTAAACTAACCTCAGGTAGCAGCTCCTACGAAGTGTATATGATTTTCACTACGCCGCGTGGAAAGCTTATCGTTATTTGGTCTAAGGCACAATGCACCACGTTTTAGTAAAGTTTGGCAAAAAGTACATGCGTTTGGTCTGACCAAGCCATGCAGAAGGAGATTTGACAAAACGTATCACACATTTTAGCCACATTTAGAAAAACCGCGCCTCCCTCCCCTCCACCAAACAGATCTGCGAAAATTACGCTGTTACTAAATAATTGTAAATTTTCTTGAACAAAAGAATATCTTAAATTAATATTGCCATAGGTAAATGACATAAAATTATGGAGTCTTTTTTTAATACGTAACGGTGATTATTATAAATACCTACAAACTGATAATATGACAATAAATTATATGTTGTTCTGCAGATCAATTATTTTTCGTTTTATCAATAAGTATTATTTACTAACTGAAACGTACTTTGCCTTTTATCAATTTAGTGTAGACGTAATGCATTTCGACCTTGCATTTGTATCATAAATTATAAGGCGGAAAATTAATAGCATAGATTAAAAAAAATATGTATCTACTAAAGAATGTTTGGGAGGTACAATCAGAGACAAGAGTACATAAAATTAGAAATTCGTGATTAATTAGATTTTGCAGCATATCATGAGGTAAATAAATACTATCTATACTAAAAAAAAGTATACGGTTTGAGAGACAATTTGGAATTTGACCGAAAACTTTGAATAAAATAAGAAATAACGAATAATATGGAAAATCTTTAACTGACTTTTGGCAGTGAATATGCCTTGATTTCAACTTCGAAACAAAAAAATATTAATAATGAGCGTAAAACTTTTTAATATGTTTAAATAATAATTAAAACTTTAAAATTGCATTTATTTTAGACAATTATAAATATTATCAAGTAAAAACGACACTTTTAGCTAATTTTTCATTTTTTCCTCGATAACCATTTAGTGAATTTGAATAACCTTACGCTAAAGTGATTCTCCAGAGTTCAAGTTACTTATTATAAAAGTTTGAAATTTCTGGTAGCTTTTTTTCTGTTAATAAAAATAATTTAATCAGTTCGGTTAACGAATCTCCATAAAATGACGTATAAAATTACAATTTTTTAAAATTTCAATAACTTTTTAACGGTTTAGTGAATCGGTTTGTAATTTTTACAGGAGTTTTAGAATTGAATGACGAACGTTCTTCCAAATTTTTATTTGTCTCGTAGCATTTTGACATACCTCCCAAACATCCTAAAGTGCATGAACGTAAATTTAAAAAAACAGTTCTTAAAATTATTTCGTTTAACGTTTTCCATTTCAATGAATGCTATAAATGATTTCTTTGTGAGAAAAAGAGCTCAAAATATACATTTTCAATAGGCAGTATGTACAGCAATTTCAAACTGATTTTTTCTTCAAATACTTTCACAAACCGACATCTTATTTAATTGTTTTTCTTTACTATTTTAACAAGAACGGCGCTCCTATAATGATACCGAATTTATGTGGATTAACTGCTTGATTGTTGTTAAAAAGGGATTAATACGTTTCTGTTTTTATTATAATAATATAATTAAACGGTAATAAACAAAATAATAAATAAAAAACAAATAATAAACATAATAAACGTATGTTATATAGTAAACATCACATACTACGCATTACAGACTGCCTTCTAATCTGTTTTTACTATTTGTTTCTAAGAAAGCATGGTTAGCTACGAAAGCGGAAATCAAACAGTTTATCAAATTTTAGCAAAAATAAATGAGGGATTAAAGATTTATCGCGGTGACAGTTATATCTATAAAATCTACTAATTCTATTTGTAAAACTGATAAAGACTTTCAGGGATTTAAAATATTAGCTGAATAAAAAAAAATGTGTGTATACTTATGTATGCACGTAAGAAGTTACACTACTTTAGTGTAACAATAAAAAATAAGAAGTAATACAATATATACGTATATAATATAAATAATAACAATACAAAAATAAAAAGCATAATCTAATTAAAATAAAGTCTATTTATGCGTCGTTAAATTATTGTTACATAATTAAAATAACTTCAAAAACTGAAATTATTTACACATTATGGAAATTAATTAATTTACGTCCATAAGTTGAACTAATTGTGATTCAACGATAATGTGAGTCACAAAAAGCTACAACACAGCATTTATATATTAGAATTTATACAATATAGCATTTACGACGCTGAGTGCAGCTAACTTCATCATGTTAATATTGTATGTTCCGTAGTCAACTTCAACATGTTAATTTTGTGTCTAGGTGCGCGCGCATCGTAAAAATTCATTATTCATAACGCGCCAAAAGAAGTATAACTTTAAAAAATATGTAACATTAATATTACTATAATTATACCAAAACCTGGCGCCTCTTTTCAGTGATTGTGATTATATTGTAAGCTGATAATACGACAATACATTACGTACTGTTTTTGCCTTTGGCAGTTCAGTTCTTTTTTGTTTCATAAATTTCATTCATTAAAATGCTAAAAACCTACTTTGCTTTTTAACTAAATAATTTCGTCTTTTCAACTTGATTTTAGAGGGTTATTCGAGTGATGAACGTTTTCAATATTCCGTTGACACCGAAAAGTTTAATGACGACATTAACGTGGTAGATAGTTTTGGATCATGTCCCGACGGAAATATTATAACTGTTGGATTTGGAGGTCAACTTGGCAACAGGATATGGGAGTACATGTCTCTCTATGCGGCATATCAACTTTACAAAGACGAGTGTCGTTTTTACCCTTACGTTCCTATGGAAATCACGAAAGACATGGAGGTTGTTTTTCAAAAGTATGAATTGTTAAGTAATTCAATTCTTTTTTACATTCCTTACGAGAAATCACAAATAATTACCAATAATAGCAGAATTAAAATGTTATCATATCAAAATATCTGGAGGGATAGACGTGCAAGGGCAAAAGATTAGTATGCTTAGATTTGCAGATGATATTGCAGTATTAGCATCTAGCAAGGAGGACCTAGAGATAGCTTTAAATAAAATGGAAGCGGTACTGACAGATCAGTACTGTATGAAAATAAATAAAAGTAAAACTAAAATACTGATATGCAAGGGAAGAAAAAGTAGGGAAAGAGCGAATATAAAGATAGGAGACGAAAAATTAGAAGAAGTGGCTGATTTTAGATACCTAGGAAGTCAGATAAGTGAGGATGGAAGGAGTAGTAGGGATATAAAGCAGAGGATAGCGCAGGGTCGTGTCGCCTTTAATAAAAAGAAGTCACTTCTATGCTCGCGAACGGTTAATTTAGAAATTCGAAAAAGGTTGTTAAAGGTGTATGTTTGGAGCACGGCGTTGTACGGGTGCGAAACATGGACAGTGGGAGCGGCGGAAAAGAAAAGGTTAGAAGCGTTCGAAATGTGGTGTTATAGGCGGATGATGAGGATATCGTGGGTAGAAAAGGTTAGAAATGAAGAGGTATTGGAAAGAATAGGAGAACAGAGGACTCTATGGAAGTCAATAAAAAATAGGCGAGATAGGTTGGTAGGACACCTTCTCAGGCATGAAGGTCTAGTCAGAGACATATTAGAGGCAGAAACAGGAGTTAGGAGGGGTAGAGGTAGACCTAGATTAGATTACTGTTCGCAAATAGTTAAGGATGTGGGTTGTTCTAGTTTTAGGGAAATGCGAAGTTTAGCTCAGGATAGGAAAGAGTGGAGGTGCGTGTCCAACCAGTCTTAGGACTGATGACCTTATGATGATGATGAATATGAAATATTAATCTGAAAATTCATTTTTGATTTTTTTTTTTATCCACTACACGCTACCTCAAATTGATGAGGGAAAAATTGTTGTTGTTGTCACACCCCCGCCGGGAATCGAACGCGGGACCTTTGGCTTTACGCATCAATGTTCTGACCACTAAACTACCAGAGGTGACAACAGCAACAACTACCAATCGACCTACACGGCTGGTCAGAACATTGGTGCATCATGCCAAAGGTCCCGGGTTCGATTCCCGGCGGGGGTGTGACAACAACAACAATTTTTCCCTCATTAATTTGAGGTAGCGTGTAGTGGGTAAAAAAAAAATCATAAATGAATTTTCAGATTAATATTGCATTTTAAACTAACTCACTTCTAAAAGTCTAAATTGTATGTATGTTTAAAATGTCTTTTGTTTTTTAAGTTGTTGCAAAAGTATGTATGATTCAGTTCAACACAATTTTATGTTTTCAAATTATTTATTACATCCAGAATACAGGAACGTTGCTACAGAATCGGGTTTCAATGCTGACTCCATACTCTATCATGAGTTTTGTGTTAATTATTAGTATTAAAAAAGAGGTATTTATAAAACCTCTGAAGGAATTTTAGCTAAAAGAGGATATCTCTCGTAAATTAAGCCTTTTTTCGAACCTCAGTCGATTTTAATATTAAAAAACTAAGTTTCAAAGCAGAAACGTAAAAATCAAAAATAAACAACACTGCTTATTTAGCAAGACCATAATTTACGACTTTTAGATGACTTAGTCAACTAGAATAGCCTATTTGTAAACAGTTATCTAATCTAATTCCATATTTCTTTATTTTTTATAATAATACGAATCTATCGGAAAAACTCATCATCGTCATAGGGTCGCCAGTCATTAGACTAGTTATACACGTACCTCCACTCTTCCCTATCCTGAGGAAATTTCCTTAAACAAGTAAATTCTACTTCGTCATCTAATCTAGGTATACATCTACTCCTCTTAATTCCTGTTTCTGCCTCTAAAATGCCTCTAACTGTCCCTTCATGCCTAAGAAAGTTCTGCCATCTTATTTCTTACGGACTTACAAGACTCACTCTGTTATGCTATCATTTCCAGCACCTTGTCTTTTATAATTTCTGCCTTTCTTTTGTTTTATATCTCTACCGCTTTTTTCATCCGAAGTTATCCGATAAGACCATTATATGTTTTTGGTCACTAGAAACTACTACCTAGGTGTTGATCTCGGTTTCAATCTTATTAGATCTCATTAGAATGCCAAATGCAGTCTCATTCTTGTTAATTTAGTTTTACGAGCCTGTCATCTACATATGAGGGCTGCATCGCCGTCATCTATTCTGTTGGATAAGTGGACACATTACTAAGGTCCTTGTTTAACTTAATGAAATACTTCAGTTAGCCGTATATATCAGTAGATGGCGATACACACGTAGTGACTTAACTAGATTTTAGATCTAATTTTTTAATTGGTTCGTTCAGCCTGTGTTGATAATGTAAATGCAATTTTGTTAGGACAGTTAGCTTTCCTGTGGGTTTTGTAACAATTACGGTAAAAACGGAAGTAAGTACTTACGTATTGTCCAATAGAATTCTTTTAGAATACTTGTTCTCAAACATGTACAACTCAAACCAACTTTCAATTTTTCATTGATGTTGTAATACCTTTTCTTCTTTATCTGGATAATTATTACTTTTTTGGGAATTTACCGCCCTATTGTATATTTATTTAAGACTTTGGATTCCAATTCTCCAAGATCTTCCGGAAGTGTGCATCCAACAGAGAGAGAAGATAGTCATAGGAGGTCACGATGACATCCCGGTAAAAGAATTACAGGGAAAGAATGCTGTCCTCGAACTTCCAAAATATTCAGCAAGATACGAATTTGTTTCAGATTACGGATTTGACAACATTAGAAGGGAACTAAGGTAAGCTAAGGTATGAATAGGGATTAAATTTGGGCCATTTGTGACTTTAGTGCATATTTACTGAAAAGCGATAAATTCGACAAAAAACATTTTCTCTCTTCAGCCTCTCAGAGTCTTTCAGCGTCTTTTACAATCTCTGAGCTATTGCCTAGGTGTTTTTATGGATCTTTCACAGTCTCTGTATGAGAGACTCGAACGATAAAATTGTTAATTCAGAGATTCGAGTCTCTCACAGAGAGACTGAATGAATAAAACTGAAAAATTGAGAGACTTGAGTCTCTCGTTCCGAGACTGGACACGAAATGAGGATCTCTTTATGGGCGACTCGAGTTTCTCGTTCAGAGACGCTAAACAGTTTTTTTGACATCTTGACAGTCTCTCTCATAGACACCAGAGAGACTCGATGAGAGACGGAAACTCAAGTTTCACTTTCGGAAACTCTGAGAGACTGAACATTTTTATCTTGGAATGAATCTATTAAATGTGCACTAAAGCCACTGATGTCACGCGCTGATGAGATCCAACAAGATCAAAATTGCGATCTGCACCAGTATGAACTTCTTATCTGATTAAATTTGAATTTATTCCTAATGAAGTGAGTAACATAATGAGCCAACTCGGATATATGGGGTTAATATAAAAACGAAATGTCTTTTCTATCTTCTTATTTAAGGCAGATTTTGCACATAACCAATTTTTTTGTTCAGTGAAAATCCACATGTTCAAAAGCATTACTGACTCACATTTTATTATATAGGTTCAAACCTGAATATGTAAATGAAGTCTATACCAATTTGAAGTCATTAAAAAGCACTTACTACAAAGAAAACGATGACGTCGTTTTTGTTGGAATGCACTACAGAGGCACAGATTACGTACCTCACATAAGAAAATACCTTCACGAAAAATTTGAGGTAATAATACTTTTTTATTAAATATACTGACCAACAGTTGAAGTTAAATAAACATTTGTAAAAAGTAACTATTTTAGGGACCACCAACTTACGAGTATTACAACAAGGCGATGTCGTTTTTCCAGGAAAAATACGAGAAAGTAATTTTCATATTAGTTACGATTGATACAAATTGGATCGACCAAAATAAAGCAGGTTTTAAGAAAGATGCGAATCTTGCAATAAATCCGTTCGAGTCTGAAAAACTAAAGGACCTGGCCCTACTTTCTCATTGCAATCACTCCATTATTTCGTACGGATCGTTCTCTTCAACTGCGGCTTTGTTTGCTGGAGGTACGACATTTGTATACGATCTGCAAATACCGTTGAACGTTAAGGGACCCATACTTGCAATGGGACTTGCATCCAGGCTGCCTAATTGGCATGTTCTTAAGTAAAAAATCGTATAATAGTTTAGCTAATTTGGAGTGAGACATAGCAGAAGGAGATTGGTTTCATGCGCATTCGCAGGCACGGCTCAGATTGTACATTACGAAAACATTTACTCACATCTGTTAAACATGGGTTTCGATATTCAACCGGAGATGGACTGTGACAATTGCGGTGATAGTTTTTAGGTGGTAAAAAATGGTAGAAAAAATACACGAAAGAAGTTTTCTCACTGCGTAATCAAAGACGAAGGATCGTGAAATTCTGAATTTGTAACATTGGACTCAACATAATTGAGAAAGAATTTCGGCAGTTAGAGCTTTTTATGTTATTTTGGAATGGATACTGATTGCGCTCCTTCGGACAAAGCTGGAGTTAAACGCTATAATCGTAAACGCAATGAAGGAGTAACCCCATGCTGGATGCTGTCTTCTCCACTCTCGAGATCGCGGCCCTGAGTGCCATTACGATCGTCCGCGAAGGCCAAAGAGGAGATCTGTTGTCCTTCGAGGAAGAACCCGACGTCAGTTGGCAGGGAAGAGGTGATATGATCCATCGCCACGTTAAAAAGCAGGGGAATTAAGGAATCTCCCTGGGGGAGAGGTGGTTACATTGCTGTACAGGTCCCTGACGTATCTGACGAACCCATCAGGTAGACGCAGCGTACAGGAACTTCTGTACCTACGCTGAAACAAGATCCAGACTGCCATCTCACGACAGTATGCGTTGTCTGTGAACTTTGACAATATTTTAGAATTTTGGATTCTAGTCCTCTCTTTTTTGTTCTTCCATGTCATTCAACTAATTTGGTGCAAGAAGTATTAACTTCAGCCATATGCAATGACCCACACATCACACACACACAAACATAGTTATTATTAACCGTCTTCTGTTAATTTAACGTTTTGTACTTGTAACTGTTTCATTAGATAAGTATAGTTGTTTAATTAAAAATGTTATTCTTCAGTTTGCGGTATCCAGTAAACTAGTACTTTACATCAATATATTATAGTAACAATAACATTATGAGATTGCGTGTTGACTGTTCATTCAACAACATATCATCTACAAATCGGCTCATCGACATGTTACTAACTTCACACGTTCCTTTGCGGAATGATTCGTGAAGACTCCGTTGACGATGTAAACACAATCTCTTAATACACAAAAAATAAAAAAACTTGCTTTTTTATGTTTCACTTTAGTAAATTTTAACTCTACAATTGTTTCGACTTATGAGACCTTTGTTAACAGTAAACTATTTGCAATCTCTTAATAATTTTACTGTCTAAAGTTTTTGTTTAAATTATTCTATTCATTACTGTACTTTAAGGTAGTTATGTATACTTCGTTTAGTTTCTCTAGCGATGTGACCTTCAGTTTGACCGGCGCAAAGTAGAAAAGAAGAGCACTAGGCCAGAAAAGAAAGGAGACAACTCTCGGCCAAACTCTCAACCGGTGAGGAGCGTATAATTCGTACAATACTGAAAGGAAAAATAGACCATTTTATCTACTAAAATTGCATTGCTCGAATGTGCTGTTATTGGTACCAATTACTACTTAGAATATCAATGATATGTTTATTTATATTTGAAGACATATTAAAGGCTTTAAAGCTTGTTTTCGACTCGCACTACTATTCATGATTGAACAAACCTTTTGGCAGGTACTGTACGAAAACGTATGTTTAATGAAGAAAAGTCGAGAGTATAATGAGCTTTTTTGTCCCTACCTACGATTTTGCCAGCGCGCATCCAAAGACATTCGAAGGGGCATATCGCTAGACAAAGTAAACGAAGTATAGTTGTCTGCATTAATTAGCAAGAAATTCGAATTAAATGTTGTTTTTATTAATTAATATATGGTATTTTTACAATAGATTGTTCTAAGTATCCTTTTTGTAGCAATGGCAGTGCTTCGTATCTGCGTTCGGAAATTCAAATTTTTTTTTAACAGACCCCGTATATTAATAGTAAACAGCTTTAACCCGTCATCTTTTAATCCTTAAATACGGTAACGTATAGAGATATCCGTATAATTCTGTCCAAAAGCTAAATTTCTTTAGAAAACCAAGCTAGAGCTAGTTTTTGTTTTTTTAAGTGAAATGTACAAGGTTTCATTTGGTGTTAAATGACCCATTAACAAATACGTTGCAATTTTTGCAGTCATCCCTCGGACAATAATAACAATTTGACATAAAACTGTACATAACAAATTATTATTTAAAAAATTTTATGGCGGTCATGACCTTACATTAATGTACATTCTTCTTCAAATTGACACATTCCCATCAAGAGTTACGATAAAGTGTAATCAAATTATTTTAAGAGCAACTCTGCTGGCACCATCTCTGTACAGTTTTACAGTAACTGGCACTTCCGAGAGATAAAAAATAAAAAACGTTTTCTTAATGTAAAGCATCGCCTTGCACAATGCAATTAAATGCTTTTGAAGGGTGTCGCGTCAATGTCGCTTGAGGAGATAGTAAAAGAGACATAATGGCAAAGCCAAAGCGGAACAAGCATGAGAGGGTGAGAAATTTCAATCTTTATAACGATGTTTAAATTACATTTGGCGTACACCCGATATTCTGATTCCGTATTTTTCAGAGGCCAAACGATAATTATTTTCACGTCACGTAGTTAAAGGTAACCCTGCGGAAATTTTACCACGGATTAAACGAGATGAACGACGAAACGTTGATTTTGACGTGGTAAGCCCCAAACGAACTGGTGTGTGACAACATAATTAAGGAAGGTAAAACGGTGTGCTTTATTTTTAACCTTATTACTCTCTTCGATACTTATATAGGTACATACGTACAGTAACTATATAAACTTTTGAAATAAGAAATATTAACTTCATGTAACACGTTTTAGCATTGTCATTAGCAGAAGCTTCATCATCATAAGGTCGTCAGTTCTAAGACTTGTTATTCACGCACTTCCACTCTTTCTTATCTTGAACTAATCTTCGCATTTCCCTAAAACTAGAACATCCCATATCCTTAATTATTTACGAACAGTAATCTAATCTAAGTCTACCGCTACTCCTCTTAACTCCTGTTTCTGCCTTTAATATGCTTTTAAGTTTTTTTTTTCATGCCTTAAGAGGTGCCCTACTAACCTATCTCGCCTATTTCTTATTGACTTCCATAGAGTTTTCTGTTCTCCTATTCTTTCTAATACCACTTCATTTCTAACCTTCTCTAGCCACAGTATCTTCATCATTCGCCTATAACACCACATTTCGAACGCTTCTAACCTTTTCTTTTCCGCCGCGCCCACAGTCCATGTTTCGCACCCATACAGCGCCGCACTCCCAACACACCTTTACAAACCTTTCGAATTTCTAAATTAACCGTTCGTGAGCATAGAAGTGACTTCTTTTTATTCAAGGCGACTCAGCCTAACCTAACCTCTGCTTTATATCCCTACTACTCCTTCTGTCCTGACATATCTGACTTCCTAGATACCCAAAAAATCAGTCACTTCTTTTAATGTTTCGTCTCCTATCTTTATATTCGCTTTTTTCTTCTCTAGCATACCAGTATTTTTGTTTTACTTTTATTATTTTCATACAATACTGTTTTTTCCATTTTGTTTAAAGCTTTTGCCCCTGTATATCTATCCCTACAGTTGTACTGCCAGAAGCTTATATGGAGTAAAAATAAATGAAGGTCTCGGAAACTTTGACCGTTTTTATAGCTTTCTGACATTTAAAAATTCTTATAATCAGTTTAATATTTCTCGCAGCTTTTTCATACGTCATCAATAAACAATCCGCGTGGAATGATGAAAAAAGTTGCTTCATAAAGTGCATAATCTTGTAATCTTTTTTATTTCTACATTATTTAGTTCAGTAAACAGTAAGATAGTCACTGTGTTACGAGTTTATCTACGCCTTAAGTGATAAAATACAATGAAAAGTTGCCGAATTTTCACAGAATTGCTTTTCGAATAGCTTCTAAAGCGATATAAAGTAGAAGAACTACATTTTATGGCAGGATTCAGGCACGGGCTTGAATTTTTATTTTAACAGGAAGTAGGTCACAGTCTTGAGACGTTAATAAAGAAATACAAACAGAGCTGAACATGAATGCGATTTGTGTGTATGCAACCCAAGATACTTAGTGACAAAGAAGACCATATTTTCTAGACGTCACATTCTGGATCATTTCAGAACATGGCCAGTCTCTATGAATAGTTGCCGCGAGGTCGGAAGGGTTAGTTAGTACAAGTTGGAAGCGAAGTAGAAAGAGATGAGAAGAAGCGACAATGTATGCGATATAATATTGAATTAATAATAGTAGTGCTAATTAGAAAGCAAATAATTAAATAAATTTAGTAATAGTGAAAAAGTTGTTTGCTTACGTGACATTAATTTATATGATTTAAACGAAGTACGACTCTCTTTACCAAAAGATGTTACTACTTAAAATAAAATAGTCCGTAACAATAATAATATATAGGTACATATAAGTATAGGGGCACATAATTGAGTGCTTTTTTTTATGATTCTTCTTTTCTGGAAATTAACAAACTCAAAAATTATAGAATGATCAAATAGTTCACAATTGTTAAATTTATTCAAATACTACCCCAATACACTATTGGTTAAGTTATATACTGTGAGCATAATTAAGTGATGTAATAATACACTTGAAAAAAACCCAGCTGGTAAAACAGTTAGTGTAGTTTTCAATTTATAGAGTGAAACATTTATAAGCTTGCACCTATAACATTTCCAACCGGATTCTTTTATTTTGAAGTCCTTAAAAAAATCGATTTTACTTTCAAGGGGGACGTACACGTTTTGATTGCAAATTCATAGATGCAAAGTCATCTTTCTAATGGGGAAAATAAGTGAAGCATCATTTTAAGAACATGCTAACATTTTTTAATGAGGAAACGTAGGTGGAATTAAGTAAAAAACGTTTTTAAAGGAGCTTTAATTGATGAAATGTTTAAATTGCAAGCCGTTCACTTCCAGGCAGTAGTGAAATCACGATTATTTCAGGGGTTATTTATGAAGGTTCCGTTTGTAGATAATACTGATTTAATAGTCCCGAAAGAATAAACTGTTAAGTCTGGCAGTCATGGAGGTCATTCAATGGAACCGCTTCTACCAATTTAGTATTCGGGAAAATCTCAACTCAGAAATTCACGTACCTACACTAACTGTATAGTGTGACAGAGCGTCATCCAAAAACAATTTCAAGAATATTCACGAAGCGAGGGTAGATTAAGTCTTCAAGGAAACTTAGTAAGGTTTACCCATTATATTATTCATTAGAAAAAATGGACCAACAATACTGTTTCTCGAAATTCCACTCCAAGCATTTAACTTTTCTGGAGACTGCGAATGGTGTTTTCTCATAATTTCATGATTATTTCACTATTTCTTCCCCTAGTCCTAATGGGAACAAAAGAATCAAGGCAAAAAGAAGGTGATAATGTCTTATTGATACACAGAAAATAACTATGTAGTTTAAATGGTTATTTTTAGAAACGTCGTTCATTCTTTACCAAATTGACATTATATACGACGATGTGAATCATCTTTTAAGATGCTGTAAACATCTAGATGACATTTCTGAAGTAGAATCTAATTTTCTGATGCTTGATGAAAAATTCAATGCAACCTCTGCATCCTTGTTAGTAGTAACAGTAAATGTCATCGTCTTTCGTGTTTTTTGAATTGAGATATCAAATTTCGTACGTGGACGTAGCTGAGGTTCTTATCGGGATGTCTACGATTAAAAATTTTCGTGGAGCATTTCATTGTTCTTAAAATTGAAACTGATGGTTTTTCTTCTCTCCGCAATGCAGTAAACTATGATGATTTGGAAGGTTTGTTTCAAAATTAGTCAACAATAACTAATTAACAGCCAACACTTTCTAGATAATTGTAATTATAAAAGGAAATAATGACCGACAACACTAATAATGTGCTAATGTGCAACATAATGGCCTATTAATGGCAACATCTAAAAGGGGATAATGGCCAACAACGCCAACAATGCGCTAAAAATTCAAAATCGTAATGATCGACAATGATAACAATTATGAAAGTTATGGTTAGCAACAATGTAAAATTGGAACAAATATTCCCTAGAAAATACCACAAATGGCGCGGTAAACGCCATCTGTAATACGATGCTACATTTTAGGATTACGTATGCTCCAACAAGGTCCATTTAAATATATGGATATCTACTTGTTGAAACTAATCCCGGCGTAGCTAACCTCAACGTGATAGGCACGTTACGATAATCGAATAAAATAATTCCAAGTGGTCTGTGTTCTGTCGGAGCTGCCTGCGACGCGCTGATGAGATCCAAAAAGATCGAAATAGCGATCCGCGTCTGGCAGTTTAAATAGAATACAGACCACTTCGAATTATTTTATTAAACA